CTCACTCTGTAGCCCAGGCTGGTCTCAAACTCGAAACGATCCTCTCACCTCAGCCTCCCAAATGCTAGGATTACAGGCCTGAGCCACCACGCCCGGCTACCTCAGTAAATGTTTTAAAACTAAAAAAAAGAAAAAGAGTTAACATTAAAATTTTAGCTCACAGGCATGATTCCACACACCTGTAGTTTCAGCCTTGAGAGACTGAGACCAAAGATCGCTGTGAGTTCAAGCCAGGCTAGGGCTACAAGCAAGTTCAAGATTGGTTTGCACTGGGTAGTGAGACCTTGGCTCAAAAAAAAACATAAGAAAACTTTAGTTATTTAGTTACATTCCCCTCTGCCCCCCATCTGTTTTTGTTTGAGACCGGGTCTCACAGAGTAGGTCAGACTGCACTTGAATTTACTGTGTAGCCCAGGCTGGCATCAAACCCTCAGCACAGTGCTGCTGGGACTGATTACAGGCCTGCACCACCATGCCCGGCTACTTAGTTACATTTTAAGTGTCCAAGAATCACATATGGTTAGTGCCACTGCAAGTACATAAAACTGTTTTCCTCACTTTCTCTTTGATGGTATTAAAAATACATGTTAGTGTATGGTTGTAATCCCAACACTCAGGGTGAGGCAGGAGGATCCCAAATTCAAATTTAGCCTGAATAATTTAGAAAAGACCCTGTCTCAAAATTAAAAAAAAAAAATTAGAAGGTGAGAGGTAGCTCATTTTGAAGGCCCTGGGTTAAATCCTCAGCACCACAAAAAACAAACAAACAGGGCTGGAGATACAACTCAGGGTCATAGTGCCTGCCTGGCAAGTACAAGGTCCTAAATTTAATTCCCGATATGAAAAGAAAAACAAAAAACAATTTCCTAGGTTGGGAATGTAGCTGAGTTGTATAGTATTTCTCCATCATGTGAAAGGGTCTGGGGAGTACTCCCAGAATCACATACAGAAAAATTTTTTTTCTTTTTTTCTTTTTTTTTTTTTTGGTACTGTCGATCAAACTCATGACCTTGCCCTTACCAGGTAGGTGCTTGTGTCACTGAGCTAAATCCCCAGCCCAAATTATTTTTTTCTTTTCTGTTTCTATTTTTGTTTTTGTTTTTTAAACAGAGTCTCACTATGCAGTTCAGGATGGCCCTGAGCTCACTTTATAGCCCAGGCTAGTCTTGAATTTGCAAGGATCCTCCTGCCTCAGCCTCCCAAATGCTAAGATTACAGGCATGCACCATCATGCCCGGCTTTTCAGAAAAAAAATTTTTAATCTGTTTCAAAAAATAGAAAAAAAAAAAAAAAGGCTGCAGCAGAGGATTTATGAAAGCCTGAGGCCAGCCTGGGATACATAGGGAGACCCTGCCTAAATTAACCAAACCAAAACAAAACCAATTTAAAACAACAGCACAACAACCAAAATAAAAAATATGCAAAAATTTGGTGTCCTTGTGAGGCCTGGTAGCACACAACTGTAATCCCAGTACTTGAGAGACGGAGGCCGCAGGACTGAGTTCAAGGCCAGCCTGGGGTACATAGTGAGACAATTATATATAATATATAATATGTAATGTATAATCTGGTACTGGAACTTGAACTCTGGGATTTTGCACTGAGTTATATCCTCAGCCCTTTTAAAATTTTGATTTTGAGCAGGTTCTCATTAAATTGCCCATGCTGGGCTTGAATCTGTGATGTTTTATCCTCAGTCTCCCAGAATGCCAGGATTACAGGCATATGCTACCATACCTGGTTTTTTGTGCGTTTTTTTTGGTACCAAGGATTGAACTCACAACTTTGCATTTGCCAAGCAGGCACTTAAGCCACTGAGCTTAACCCCCCTCCCATACCTGGTTTGATAATAAATATTTTTGAAATTCAAGACAAGTAGCAATGAAAGTAATTTGAATGAAAATTAAAAGGTCCTACATTTGTCTTGCTTTTCCTTTTCTTTTCTTTCTTTTTTTTTTTTTTTTATTTTAAAGAAAATAAGACCAAGCAAAATAAAACAGAACAAAGCTAACAATACAAAATCAACAATGGTTACCATAATGCCTCTTCTTGTCTTCAAAATAGCTGCAGATACCTTCAGATATAGTAAAAATCAAACAAAACAAAACGGAATAGAACCAGTAAAAACAAAACAATCAAATAAAAAAAAAAACAATGAACGTGATAAAGAATTTCAAAACAAGACAATAGTAAATCCAAAATGGCTACCATAATATATCTTGTTATCTTTGAAATAGCTGCCTATGCCATCAGATAAAATGAAATCAAACAAAACAAAACAGAATAAATCCAACTCAACAAAACAATGAAAATGATACAGAACTTCAAAACAAGGTAATAGGGAATTAACAATGGCTACCACCCTCAGAAGGAGATCCCCAGTAGATGCTACACTGTGTATTATTATCCTCTGAATAGATGATCACACTACTAGTCCTAGACCTGCAAAGCCAGTGAAACACCAAACACCACAAGCATCAAATTGCATTCACCTGAAAAGCTATCATGGCAGCTTGTGTTTCTCCAGATCAGTCTGTGGCTTATGAGGGTGGGATGGGGTGGTTTTTCTTATTTCCCAGCCCACACATTGCAAGGGGCTGGGGCCCAGCCCCTTGGTGATAGCAGCCGCACATAAATGCTGGTTCACAAGGAGAGTCTCTTTTTTTTTTTTTTCTTTTCTCACTGTGTAGGTCAGGCTAGCCTAGAACTCATTCTGTAGTCCAGGCTGGTCTCAAATTTGTGGTGATCCTCCTGCCTCAGTCTGCTGGGTGCTAGAATTACAGGGGTATGCCACCATAACCAACTTAGTGTTTTCACTTATAAAATATCTGTTCGAAAAGAAAAGACACCCCTGAAGTTAAGGTGAGAATTGGGCATCACTGGTAGGAGTATAAAGTGGTAGATGCTTCTTTTTTTTTTTTTTTTTTTTTTTTGTCTCTTTCCTTTTTATCGGTACTGGGGATTGAACTCACGACTGCCTGCTTCAAGCAGGCACTTATGCCGCTGAGCTAAATCCCCAGCCCTAGTAGACCCTTTTTAAAAGTTAGACAGTTTGGAAAGAAGTACCAAAGGCTTTAAAATTGGTCATTCTCTTTGATTTAGCTGTTCTACTTCTAGTAATTATTCTGAGAAAAAATAATTTAATAATTTTGAATGTAAGTAAAAATTTATCTGAGAGATTTTTTTTCACATAGTGAGGATTGAATCCAGGGCCTCAAGTGTACTAGGCTAGCTCTCTACCACTCAGAAGGCTGAGGCAGGAGGATCACTTCAAGTTCGAGGTCAGCCTGGGCTACAGAGTGACACACTGTCTCAAAAAAAATTTTAAAGCCCTCCAAGAGAGAAAGAAAGAAAGAAAGAAAGAAAGAAAGAAAGAAAGAAAGAAAAGAAAGAAAGGGAAAAGAAAGGAAAGGAAAGGAAAAGAAAGGAAAGGAAAGAGCCTCTGCAGTACAAGTTTGGGCCAAGTAAAAACAGGAAAATAAGTACACTGTATAGAAAGTGGGCCACCATGCAAGAGAACATAGTGGCCAACACTAATGAATTTTAAAATGGTGAAGATAGTGAATTTAGTGTTCTGTGTATTCTACCACAATTTTTGTGTGGTTTGATTTTGAGACAAGGTCTTGCTAGGTAGTCCAGGCTGAACTTGAACTGATTATACAGCACAAAGTAGCCTCAAACTCATAGTGATCCTCCTGCCTCCGCCTCCAGAGTGCTGGGATCACAGGTGTGAACCACCACACCAGCTTTATTAATCTTTAAAAAAAAAAAAAATAAATGAAGGCAGGGCGTGGTGGCTGGTGGCTCACGCCTGTAATCCCAGCACTCAGGAAGCTGAAGCAAGAGGACTGTACAAGTTTGAGACCAGCCTGGGCTACAAAGTGAGCTCAAGGCCAGCTTGACCTGCATAGCAAGACTCTATTTCCAATAAATAAATAAATAAAATGAAAAGGAAAAAAGACAGCGACAGCTACTCTGGACAAGTAGAAAGGAGTATTTACAGGGGAAATACTCGTTTCTGTTAATCTTTTTTTTGTACTGGGAATCAAATTCATGACCTTGGGGCTGGGGATTTAGCTCAGTGGCATAAGCTCCTGCCTTGGAAGCAGGCAGTCCTGAGTTTGATCCCTGGTACCGGTAAAAACGAAAAAGACCAAAAAAAAAAAAAAAAAACAAATTCATGACCTTGTGCTTGTCAGGCAGGTCCTTATGCCACTAAGCTATATCCTTGGTAGCTCTGTTAATCTTAATTCAAATATATATAATTTGAACAGAAACACTTATTGAGAGAAAGAAAGCTTTTGTCACAGAGACACAGTCCTGAGAGGACTGCCAGGGATTTTTTTTTTTTTTTTTGTCTTTTTGAGACAGGGTCTTGCTACGCAGTTCAGGCTGGCCTTGGGCTCATTTTGTACCCTAGGCTGGTCTCGAACTTGCCACAATCCACCTGCCTCAGCCTCCCAAGTGCTGGGATTACAGGAGTGTGCCACCACACCCAGGTCAAATATACTTTTTAATTTTAATGAGTATAAAACCACACCAAACAGAAAAGCTAATCAGAAAAGAACAATGAAAGTGATACAGGACTTCAAAACAAAATAGAAAATCAACAATGGATACCATGATGTCTCTTGTTTTCTTCCAAATAGCTGTCCATACCATCAGATATAATAAAATCAAAACAGAACAAAAGCAATCAAAACAAAAGAATGAAAGTGTTATAGACTTGTTCAAAACAAGATAACAGGAAATGAACAATGGCTACTGTAATCCATTCTGTTACCTTCACAGTAGCTGCCGTACCATCAGACACAGCATCAGATATATTTTCAATCTTAGTTTCATTGGAGAAGTTCGGTATGTGAGTGAATGTGCAAGCTGCTGTGTCCATGAGTGCTACCAGTAAGGAGAGGAGCAGGACCTCTTATCAGGCTGACCTGCAAAGGGTTAACTTCCCAGCTAAAGGGACTGGATTATCCAGAGGACAGAGGACTGAGCCTAGAGAATTAGAGGGCAAGAATGCACCCAGGAAAAGAAGAACTGGAGAGAGCTCTCAAGAGGAAGCGGGGATTGTAAGTTTATGTCTAATACATAGCTGTGGTCCCTTGTTTCTGACCTAGGTTGTTTTGTGTCGTGAGTGTCTAGAGCACTCTGAACTCCGGGCAAGGTAAACACGCACGCCTTGTCGGGACACGGGGGGTACAGCGCTTGGAAAAGAAAGACAGGAGAGACACCTTTGCTGTCTGCACCGCGTTACACTGCACTGCACTGCACTGTACGCACAATCTTTATTTTAGGATTCATATATAGTAAACCCGATCAATTTACAGAGCCCAGATAATTAAGTAGTGAAAAGGCATTCTTTGTGGCAAGCTACAACGTGACAGACTACAATGTTTATTCTAAAACTATCTAAGTGAAGTAAATAATCACAACCAGTTCTCACAACTTCTCTAGCCCAGGAAGAAATTCATTAGCTCAAGAATGTTGTTAATTTGTCTGCTGTTAGTGTCACAAAGGGTGGCCAGCCACTTCCTCAAGACTTCTGCAAAACAAAGCCAGCTCACAGTATGGATTCCAGAGGGTGAGGGCTCACTGAGAACAGGCATTCCCGTTCTACCTCCTTCTCGCATACCAGGGCGGCTATTGTAAATTGCAGGTTAGAGGGGGTTGGGCCTACAAAGTGACACCTCATCCCCCACACTTCCTTCCTTTTTATTTTTTAACAACAATTTCCATAAGATCAGGTTATTAATAGTATTTCGTCTTATGCAGTAAAAATACACAAGAACTATGGCAATGAGAACTATAATTAAACTAAGTCCCATGCCACTAAAAGTGTGGGTTATGCTCTGCCAGATTCCTTTGGAATCTAATCCTTTCAAAGATTGAGCAAGCAATTGCGCAAATTGTGCTAGGGATTCATCATCATTTTGCTTTGCAAAATCCTTGTCAATTTGATTATGCAAAGATTCTATTTCCTCCTGGGCAGAGGTGTTTCCATTTAAATACATTCTAATCATTTCCCATTCAAGTTCTGTCTGATTATAAGGTCGTTGGGTTATACAGAAAGTAGTTGAATTCCAATCACATTTTAAAAACACTTGATGCTGAAGAGCCAATATTTTTCTACCCATCCATTCAACTGTTTGTTTAAGGAGGTCTATTTGTTGTTGTAGTTTGGCGTTTATTTGCCACTGAGTTAACCAAAGTTCATGAGAATTCTCATGCCATAATTCGACAACATGTTTTTCTTGCAAAGAGGTATGTAAAGCTACTCCTGAGACTGCTGCTAGAGAGGCTACAGTTATCAGACTTAACAGTACAGCAACCACTATTCCAATAAATCTTTTTGTACGTTTTAACAGATGTTTAAAAAATTCAGTAGTAACAGAAATTACCGGGTCTTGAGACCATGGTCGAGTTAAATTTACAGGCAACCAAATATGAGTTTTTTGTTGTAACAGCATAACTGTATAAGGCTTAGTGAAATTTAGTGTGCTATTTAAGCATGTAAACAATTGACAATTTAAACAAGTACAAGAAAAATGTGTAAAATTAAAAGTTCCCACTAAAAAGACATAAGGCAGAGGTGCACAAACAGTAATATTATACATTTTAAACCTAGTAAAATTATAAGTAGTAGATACAGATCGACTAGTCCCTGAATAGGAAACATTGTACAAGGTTACAGGTTGCATAGCGGCTGGAATCTTCCAAATATGATTTTGAAGGTGATGAGGGTATTCTTCGGCTGCAACAGCAGGGTTAGCGATTCCACCATCTCCCCACCACAAGAGAGCCGTCTTTTGATGAAATATAGGAGCTCCGTCAGTTATTTTCTTTGGATCTGGAAGACTATACACAACAGAGAGATTACATCTTGTCTCATTCCATTCAGCACATCCATTAACGAATTTTCCAAATGGTCCCCAAATAATATACCCATCAATATTTTTAGCAAATTTTCCCATACATAGTTGCCAAATTATGGGATTATAAGAAATATTTTTATAAGTGAATTCAGGGCATACAGGAAATGTATTTGTATCAGGTGCTGTTAAATTTTTCCAGGTAACATTAAAGGTTTGAGCAGCCAAGGCTTGAAGCCTTGTCCTTTTGTTGCCTGCTTTTATTCCATGTTGAATCCAATACTGCCATCCCAGAGGGATGCAAGGCGGTTCCCCAATGCAAATAGGCCTTTGATTACCATAATAAGTAAAATTGAATAGTGTCCCATCATCTTGATTGTGGGGGGTTAAATCAGCCCACGGTGCTGACAAAATTTCTCTAGGTGTGGTATAAAGTAAAATATCACTAGTTCCCCATTTTACAGGTTCTAATAAAGGGGGGTTTGGAATATATGCCCAGTACGAATGCGGAGGTACCTCAGTCCCCGATGCAACAGTGAGCAAGGCACATAAAGCTAAAAACAAGTTTTCAGGGTTTAAAGGCTTTCCTGCTTGAAGGACAAGCCGTTGCCCTTCTATGGTCAATTTCTTTAATTGTCCCCATGTAGGGAGGGGATTTAAATTTGGTCGCTGTGAGCGGCGGGATTTTCTTAGCTTTAATCTGGCCATGGCTGCGATAGGAACAAGCTCAGCATCCTCAGCCTCTAGCTGGTTTCGCGCTCGCTTCTGAAGGCACGGTTCCGGTTCCTTGGGGAGTTGTCTCCGGGGCTGGCGAACAGGGTCTGGAGGCGCGGATCCTGATCCATCGTCCAGGGACCCACTGCTGAATTCCATTTTCTGTGGAGATATAACCAAAACCTTTCCCCCTATAGAGCAATGTGCCCCTCTCCCATTCAGCCTCTGGAGCTGTTTTAGTCCAAATAGGTTCATTAATCACAAAAGGCTGTTGTTGCTGTTCAAAATGTTTTTCAGCTCTTGTTAATATTTCACCTTGTGGTAAATTGAGAAAATTTAAAATAAACAATGCTTGATGCAGTAATGTTTTTGGACTGTTTTGCAATTTAAACAGTATTGGTATCTGAATATCCTCCTGACTCCTCCTTTTTAATTTTTTAATTTGCAACTTAAGAGTGCCATGTGCTCTTTCAACAATAGCTTGACCCTGGGGGTTATATTCAATCCCTGTAATATGAATAATATTATGGAGATCACAAAATTGTTTAAATGTTCTGCTAGTATAAGCAGGTCCATTATCTGTTTTGATTTTAGAAGGAATTCCCATAACTGCAAAAGTCTCCAATAAATGTACAATAACATTTTTAGTGGATTCTCCCTGTTGAGCAGTAGCCCATAGAAATGAAGAATAGGTATCAATAACTACATGTACATAAGAAAGCCGACCAAAAGAAGGTACATGTGTAATATCCATTTGCCATAATTCATTAGGTTGAGTTCCTCGAGGGTTGACACCTGCGGGAATAATTCTTAAATGTAATGGTCTACAAATAGGGCAGGCTTTTACAATCTGTTTAGCTTTTGTAAAAGGTATCTTATATTTAAGATGCAAATGTCCTGCATTTGCATGATTAAATTGATGTTCTTCAACGGGTGTGGTGAACATAACTAAGGAATCCACTGCATTGTTACCTGATACTAATGGTCCGGGTAACTGAGAATGAGAACGTAAATGAGTAATAAAATAAGAATGATTTCTTTTTTGAACATGTATTTGTAAATTTTGAAATAAAGACAATAAAGCAGGCTTATTAGAATATAACACAGCTGAATAGATATTTGTCACTACTCCAACAGAATAGGCCGAATCGGCTATAATATTAATAGGTTGGTTATGAAAATCTAAAAACACTTGTAATATAGCAAAAAGTTCATTTTGTTGTACAGAGTTAAAATTTGTCTGACGTACCCAGTAAGATTTTTGAGTCCAATATGCAGCTTTATTTTTAGATCCATCTGTAAATATAGTCAAAGCTTGTGGAATTGGCTGTACAGCTAATAAGGTATTAACCACAAATTGTTGACGTCTAAAAAAATCCCATAATTTACTTTTAGGAAAATGATATGAAAAAGTTCCCATGAAATCTGCTAAAGCAATTTGTAAGGTTTCAGTAATTGACAACAAATATTCCCATTGTTCCTTAGTTAAAGGGATAACTATATTGTTTATATCTTCTCCTATCAAAGTTATAGAACGAGCTCTACCATTCATAATTAAAGCTGCAACCATGTCAATATAAGGCATAACATTTTTAGATTGCTTAGTTTTAGTGAATACCCATTCTACTGGCATAGCATTTTGACCTAAAACTGCAGAGGGATATTGAAAAGTATTAATAATATATAAAGTTAGAGGCAATTTAGGATCAATCCTAATTAAAAATGCATCCTTAATTCGTTGTTCTACAAACTGTAATTCTTGCTCGGCTTTTGTTGTTAAAGAACGAGGGCTGGATGGATCTGAAGAGCCCTGTAGAGTAGCAAACAAATGCTGTAATGCATGGGTAGGAATACCTAGTGTGGGACGAAGCCAATTAATATCCCCTAATAATTTTTGAAAATCATTTAAAGTGGATAACTTATCTCTCCTAATAGACATTTTTTGTGGAATCACCTTTTGTCTAGTAAGAATATATCCCAAATAATGACTAACTTCTTCCTTTTGAATTTTATCCTGTGCTATTACAAGTCCAAACGGAGAAAAATATTGAGGTAAAGTTTTTAAAATATCTTCTAAAACATTTCTATCACTATATGAGAATAAAATATCATCCATGAAATGAGCCGTATAAACCTGAGGCCATCGTGCACGCACTGGTTTTAATGCTGCATCAACATAAATTTGACATATAGTTGGGGAATTTTTTATTCCTTGGGGTAAAGTCCTCCATTGATATCTTTGATAAGGTCTTTGATAATTTGTTTGAGGAATTGAAAAAGCAAACCGTTTTCTATCTTCTGGATGTAATGGGATGTTAAAATACAAACCAACCAGCAGGGAGCGCTGAGGGTAAAGGAATACCGGGCTGAAGGGCTCCCATTTGAATTAAGGATGAATTTACAGCACGTAAGTCTGTTAAAAGTCTCCACTTGCCTGATTTCTTTTTTATCACAAATATTGGAGAATTCCAAGGAGATGTGGATGG